AGAAAAAATGTGTAATCATTGAAAACACTAATTGATGCTTTTTTTATCAAAGAATTTCTTTGTCGTGTCTTTGTAAATGAAAAATTCACCTTTTTCGATGTTTCTTCGAACTACATAGAATTGTTGAAAAGTACTTCGTTTAGATATCAATGAAATAAAGATTTATATTTAGAAAGATTTGAAAACGAAAATTATTTGAATAGATGTCGAAATTGACTTGATGTTTTTCTTATTAAAACAAAGGAGATGAATGTTTTTGTCGAATAGAATATTGAGAGTGTTGTTGCTAAACTGTTTACTACAAAGTGATGGTTTGTTGAAAAGATTGGTGAATATCGAATGAAAAATCAAATTCACTTAACGGAAATTGACATCGATTTCTATTTTAAAAAAATATAAACGATAAACACAAATTCATCGTTTTCACAAAGATTTTGTCCAAAACAATCAAATAAAATGATTGAGATGAATAAATTCGAGGTATTTCATATGTCAGTTCAACAAATGAAAATATTATAAATCATTTGACTTTCAATTAATTTGAATGTGCCGAAATCAAGTTATTGGGAATGAACGTGTGAAGAACATTGAGTTACATTTTCGAATACAACGGTGGATCAGAGTTCGTCTCCACATGAATCACATGTTCTACAGTTTGATAATATTCACGCATTTCTTCTATTGTGAAAAGTAGAATCTCAAATAATTTACAGAGTTATAAGCGATGAATTTGTACAAAAGATGAAAAATAACTGCAACTGACATAGAATTTGAATTGTCATTCTTACTTGATGACACTTTCCTCTGATTTTTCACAAAGTCAAAATGGTTTGATTCATGAAATTTGAACATTCGTTTGCGCGTTTAAATATTCATATGTGAGTGTCTCAGATGATGTTTTTTGAAAATCAATTCAATTTTTTGGCGTTATCTATTCGAATACGCACAGCCAAATGTTTTGGAAAACATGTGATACGTTGAACGCATCCACCAGAATTATTCGCTTCATCACCAGGATCTTCGAATGTAACACGTTGCATCAAACGTGTAATAGCAATTTTTAATTCAAAGAATGCTAAATCTTGACCAACACAGGCCCGATGGCCACCTCCAAATGGCATATAAGCATATTGAGGAGGATTCTTATCTTCATCTAAGAATCGTTCAGGTAGAAATTTCGATGGATCGAGTTTCCAATAACGTGGATCTCGATGAAGATTTTGTATAGCAATAACAATTGTGTCTCCCTTTTTAATCGGTATATTATCAATGATATCATCACGCGTTGCATCACGAGATATGGCACCAGCAATGGGTGCATATCGGAGAACTTCTTTTGTTACACATTCGATATAAACCAATGAATCGAGTATCTCATGTGTTAATGGATTTTCATTTTCTAGATGATGTTCTTTAAGTTCATCTTTGATTTTTTGTTGAACTTCAGGATATTTTGACATGTAAAAAATGAACCATGAAAGAGCTGTTGAAGTTGTTTCAAAACCGGCTAATATTGACATGGAAACTTCATCAAATACTTCTGTAGGAGTTAGAAAAGCTTTCGTCGATGACGAAGATTCGTTTCGTATAGAACTTACAAGTGAAGTAATTAGATTTTTCGGTCGATTCAATGGATTAAAATCGTTCTCTTCTTGACGTTTTTGTTCGTCAGCAATAATATTCATTACATATTGTTTCATATTGTAATTAATGCCTTTTGAAATTTCCAATTCAATTTGAGAATTACTTTTCCTAACCAAGGTGGAATCCCAGTCGCAATTATAAATTGATTCGCATAACAAACAAAATCATTGAATGCTTCTCGTAAATGAATCGAATCTGTTTTCGATGATAATTCAAGATCATAATCAAAAGCTATACGAGCAATAACATTCAAAAGAACATTTTGACATTGTACAACAAGATCTGTACGAATTTCTCCATTATGTTTAACAAATTGTTCATCAACTAAATGATCAATACAATTTACAATTGTATTCAAATAAGGTAAAATTTTTGCACGTTTAAACATTGGAAGTATAAATCGTGCATGACGTTTCCATGTTTCACCACGTAAAGCGATCAAACCAGATGGAAAAAGAATACCAAAACTACTCGTTGTACTTGTAGCTTGATCATAAGTATGTCGATCGGTTAACACATGCTGAACATATTCAATACGTGAAAGAATTATTGAAGGATATGGTCCAAGCCAAAATAAATATGCATCTCCAAAATTTTCTTTTAATTTAGCAAAAACTTCATGAAGTGCGACTTCACCTGTTGAAACACCGGTATTTTTTAAATTACCAATTAACCATTGAGGCTTAAGACCGGATAAATCTTTAGCACGCGCCTTGGCTATGCGATGAAAAGATTGATAATAATAAGAAATAATTAGGAAAAAAAGAATTAAAACAATGAAAATGAGTTCGAGAATCATCTGAATTCTATTTCAATGATTGTTTTTGTCATTCTCAATTGGTGATAAGAACAAAATATGTATCTGCAGTTAAAAAACGAACACACAATTCCTATTCAATGCAGTCATCCATTGTTCTCATTGTGCCTCTGGAAAGATGAAATTTACTAGAGGGCTCTGCTTTTTATTAATAATGTCAAAATCAATGTATTTGTGAAAAGAAATTTATTGAAAATCTAAAAAAGAATGTTCTCTAAATGAAATGTTTGAACTAATTTGAATAATTCTTGACGAAATATTTTTCCGCTTAATGTATAAGCAAAGAAAGTCATAGAATTATTAATATATGTTATTAAAATACAAATTTGAGCAAGAAAATTCTCGATTGCTTTACGTTCATTTGATTTATCCAGATAAACTGTTAAAGAAGCATAAAATTTATAAAGACCCATTGGTGAACTAAATAAAATGAGAATTCCAACCTAAAGAAAACCAATCAAAATGAGATTTTCTCTTAAAAAAAAGATTTACTTGTACAAATAACATAGTGAAAATCTGTAAATCTCGTTTTCTTTTGTTAATACCGATAATTGTTCCTTTGAATTCTGTTGTTACTTGTCGTCGACTTTGTTGAATATTTCGAAATGTAAAATAACCAAAAGAAATCATCAAACAAATCGGAATTGTTGTATAGAAGATCATTAATAAAAGTCCATCAACGATTTGACATTGAACTGATATCGTATAACACGAAGCAACAGAATTAATATTTCCATTATTAAAACAATAAAATGTTTCACTAAAAATCAAACATCCAACAAATGTGATTAAGAAGATAATTCGATAAACAATCTTTCTTTGACAAAGATTTCGAAGTGAAATTGATCGTGATGAACTACAATAACGATCAAAACATGCGAATGTGATAAACCATGAAGTACAGTAAAGTGAAAGATATGTGAGAAAATAACGAATTTTACATAAAATTGAAGAATATGATGTATAATCGTGATTGTATCCATTTAAGAGACGAGTCATTAGACCAACATAAAGTGCTACAAAACTGACAATTGTTGTGCATAAAAAATATTGAACACATGAATTTCTTCTCAGTGTTTTACGTGTAAATACATAAATATTGAGAAGATTTCCAAATGTACCAAAGATAAGAAGTGGAAGAGGAAAATAACGATTGATCAACGTTGATCCAATGCTCCAATATGATAAAGACATTCTTTTTCGTTGTGAGCCTGTTGAGAACTATAAGATAATGATGTCTTATGGCTTCTAAATCTTTCGGGATTGAAAGAAAAAGATTCTCATTAGAAAGTATTTATCAATTAGTTCCTTTTATCCGGATGTACTCTGAAACACGTCAAGAAGTTCATTAGAAATCTTGTAGTTAATCTTTATACAAATAAAAATAATCTTATTCTGTTTCTTCTCTCTTCTTTTCAGATTTCACGTCACATATCTATGTGCTCAACTCATGTGTTTACGTAATTGCTTTAGACATAAATTAGTGCTTTATTATCTTATAAAACTTGTCTAGGAAAAAAATATCTCTGTATTTAGTTCAGAAGGCATTTTTGATCATTTTATCATTTGGATATTTGTAATCTTGANAACTCATGTGTTTACGTAATTGCTTTAGACATAAATTAGTAAAGGAGATTCATATATTATGAAACGTCAATTATTAGTACACATATATTCAGTTCGAACACAAGTCAATGATCGTTGACAGTTCACATACATGTAAAACTCGAAGACTCGATTCGAGTATTAAAACTATAAATTCGAGTTTTAAACTTTTAAATTTATAAATTTAGAATTCGAGTAGCCGAGTTTTAAACTTTTAACTACTAATTAGTTATTAAATATGCACTAACTACATGCTAAATATTAAATGATTAAGTACCTATCGTTTATTAACTGCCTGATTAGCAATTATTACCTGACCGATTAGCATTTATTAGCTGCCTGATTAGCAATTATTAGCTGGCGGATTAGCATTTATTAACTGGCTGAATATCTTGTGGGTGAGGGTGTGAGTGTGGGTGTGGGTGTGGGTGTGGGTGTGGGTGTGGATTAGGGGACAACTCAAACGTAGATTTTCAGGTTTGGAAGTTTAGAAGTTTAAAAGTTTAAAACTCGAGTACTCGAATTCTAAACCGAAAGATTTAGAATTCGAACGAAAGTTTTAAAACTCGAATCGAGTTAACGATTTCTACACTACTCGACAGTTCATATCAAAAGATTCGGAAAAACGAAATAACTTCATACCTTGATCATTAAAGAGTATTTGAAGAAATATTGTTGTTATTGAATGACTACAGTTGCTGTTTATTCAGATATTACACAAACTGAATGAGACATTCTTATAATTCATATAATCACGTTGAGGGTGAGAATGTTAATTATGTTCAATCTCCCAAACTAATGCATTTTTCATCCTAATATTTTGTATTTAACGTTCGTTTTAAAACTTCCAATCAATAATACAGAAAGAAAAGCCACGAAGTTGAGTCTCTCTCTTCATTTTTGATTAACGATAAGAAATGGCAAATAAATCATTGTATTTCAATAATTCGTGGAATTTAATCAAAACTGGTTTTCTTCTTCTTCTTACATGGATCGCTATGATAGAAATCGACTTTTCTTCCTTAGTTTATTAATGAATTTTCATTGAATGTTGTGATATGAGCTCAGCTCTTGGATCATCAGGTATTGGTTATTGAATTGCAAATATTCTTGATGTTAGTCTCGAAAAAATTGTAAAAAGAAACATTCCAATGGATTATTAATTCTTACATTCGTTTTATCGGCAATTGGAATGTTGTTCTTAAAATATATCAGAGCAATAAGGAACTCTTATTTTAGTGTTATTTCTTTCATAATCCATATATGTGACATCATTGATATAATCATATGTATTTTATTTTTCACTCATGGTATTGGTCAAGGTTTGATTGAGTTAAGTGGAACAAATGCAGCAGTACCATTGACTATTGTTCTATTAGGAGATCAAATTGGAGCATATTTAGGTTGATTATTCCGTTGTGAATATCAATAATGACAAAGAACAATGCTGAACTAAATCTTCCCGTTCACGTCTTTGATATTTTTCATTATTAGAAATGATCAAACATTTTTGAAGATTTTTCTTTACTCATTTCGAATCTGATAAATTTCATTTATCCACGGAAACCATTAGTGTCGAATATATTCGAAATTGAAATTGAAATTTAATTATTCATCTTATGTCTTAGATTAGACGATTAATTATCGCATTTGTATCAATGTTTTTATCCGTTAGTGTATGCTTTATGTCCTAAGTATAACATCGTTCATTTTTGTTTGGAGAATTGGTTTAATGATGATGATGATGTGAATATTTATTGAGTCTCTTTTTGTATTAAATAAATTTAGTTAAACTTACGATATTTTCAAATAGAATATTAAAATTAATTTGGTGAAATCTCATCATTTCTGCATTTGAGTCATAAAATAATATGAAATTGCTCAAAGAATCGTTGTAAAACATTCCGAAATGTTATTGTTGATTGACATTACGATATATAAAAGAAATACCTGAGTCATATTGGGAAAAGATTGCGCATATGTATATTTGTCATCGATAGGGAAGAAACGCAAGACGAAATACCCAGTTATTCAAATAAATAGAAATACGGAGTCATTAATTGTTTGTTTTTGCACTTTTCTTCTCCAAAATGACTACGATATCTGGTATAACCAAGTTTGAAAGTTTATCCAATGAATTAATGTTTGAAATATTTGATTATCTTGGTATTTATCAAGCTTATCAAATTTTCTTTAATTTAAATGAAAGATTTCAACAACTTTCAACTTCATCTAATCAATTAATCGAAGTGAATTTGTTTAATTTATCGAAATCATCATTTGAAGAACATTATCAAGAATTTTTTCAATTGAATATTCATCGGATTCGTTCACTTTATATTTTCAATCGATCAATGATGAATTCGATCATTTCATTTCTTCCAAGTCGCACATTATTTAATCGACTTGAAACACTTTATTTGAATAATTTAGACTTGACAAATTCAATTCAGTTGTTCAATTATTTATCACTATTGCCAAAACTTTCATCATTAATACTTTGTATACTTGATGGAGATTTTGATAGAAATATGCTCTACAATGGAATCTTTCGTTTATCATCATTAAAATACTGTAAAATATCATCGAATAGTTTTCATAACGCGGAACACGGTTTGATACCAATTATTAATAGAAATCAAAGTCCAATTGAACATCTTATTATTGATTTTATAATTTATCCCGAAGAACTTCGATATGTCTTATCATATGTTCCATATCTCCGTCGTTTATCAGCTAATTTAACTTCCCGTAGGACATTTTTACGACAATCCATTCGAGCAATTTCCAATAGTCTTACACATGTTTCTATTCGATTAAGAGACATGAGTTTCAATGAATTTGAACCTTACATGAAGATGTTTTTTTCAAATCTTCAAGTTTTCTATCTATCAACAGAGAGGGATAATCAATATCTTAATGCACACCGATGGGAACATTTAATAACAAATTATATGAGTCATTTAAGAATATTTGATCTTCAACATAAAACATCGTTACGTAAAAATATTCAACGTCAACATTTATTAAAACAATTCTCAACATTATTTTGGAATAGAAGAAAATGGATTTTTACACACGGTTATCAATATTCATATCAAGGATGTTTTTATTCTACAGAACCATACAGAAGAGAAAAATATACATTGAGATATGATAAAAATCAACCCAAATATCTGACTCAAATAAATAATAATAACCTGACTTCAGTTCGTCATGTTCTTGTTCAACATCGATTCATTATTGAAAATCAATCGATCAATTTTCCAAACCTAACTGAACTTACTTTTGGAGAACATGTTTATATATCCGACAAATTACTGAAAAATATATCTAAAAGTAATATTCTTTTATTACAAGTAACAAAAATAACGATTAATAACATTGATGTTGGTTTTTACGCAATAATTAAACTATTATGTTTAACTCCTAATTGTAAAAAGCTCACACTTTCATCATTATTATTCGAAACAGAAAATATGACATTGACACAATTAGACAAGGAATATTTCGAAAATTTTTCTTCGAAAAATATCATTCAACATGTGACTATGAAATTGTATTCATTCGCAGACATTCAATTATTAGTCAAGTTTCTTCGTCGATTAGAATATTTGACTATTTCAGGTGAATGCGAATTTCAAGAAATTATCAAATATTTATTAACTGAAAAGAAATATACTCGTTATTTACATTCATTACATATTCAAAGTGAAGAAGATATATGGCAAGAACAATTAATCAATACAATACAAGAAATTGGACAAAACGACAGGGTTTCTATAAATTTTATTAATTATCGTGAATGTTATTTATGGTGGTAATCAATCTTTTGTCTAAGATTTCAATTGTCGAAGAGATATTTTAAATAAAATTTTCAATCTGATAAGAAACACTTCATTAGATAAACATCTCTCAATATAGTTTGACATGAGAATAAATATTTAAAAAAGGGATTTATTAGTTTTGTTTCCATTGATAATAGAGTGTGGAGACTTCATAAAAAGGAATTATTTGGAAATTCATAATCTATAAAGATGTTCGCAATAAACTATTTCAAAATATTGAATTTTATTCTGATTATGATGAATGACGAATTTTCAGGTGAAGAGAATTTTTTTATTTGATATGAAATATATTTTCGTATTTTTCTAGTAATAAAACTGAGTTTAAGCAACAGGTATATGCTTATGCCAAATAATTTGGAGTATATACTCAATCGTCGGCCTAATTCAATGTATCGCGACTGTCTTTTCATTGGAGAAACGAAACTCGATGGCGTCTTGTCTAATGCAGACGAAATTAATGATTATGTACGTTTATGTATTCGAATACCTTATGATGAAAAAGTGAATGAAAATCCAACGAAATGTTCTGATTTCACCAAGCAAAAAGATTACATTTGAAAAATTATATAATGAAAGTACGAATGATTTTCTTTTATTCGCAAGTGAGGACAAAATATTCTTTGGTATATATTTTTCAGATCGAAATGAAGATTGGTTTGTTGGTTTGAATATTCCACTTGATTTGATAGATGCATATCAACAATATGTTTTCTATCGAAAAAATCAAACTGATCTTATACTCGATGAGTCTATTCCCATCAGTCTTTTGATTCCAACGATTGGTAAAGCACGTACAAGTCTGTCAACTTGGAATCGTCGTATATCATGTTACAATTTACTTTCATCGTGTTATGATAAATTGAATAGAAAACGATGTCTGGATTGGCGCGATATTTGTGACGATGAAAACCAATGTGTGAATTTGGAAATGAATAAATGTGATGTCGAAAGTGAATTTCGTTGTCGAAATGGTTTATGTATTCGTCGCGAATTTTTATTCGATGGTCAATTTGATTGTTTAGATGGTAGTGATGAACAATTGAAATTAATAAATGAAGAATTATGTTATCAATTTCCATGGATTGATTGTGAAGAACATTTATGTACGCGAGATGAATTTTCATGTGGTGATGGTCAATGTATAACATGGACAGATCGATTTCAAGAATTAACTAAATGTATAAATGCGAACGATATGTTATATATGTGTGAATATAAAGCTATGCAGGAAACTTCCAACGATGGTTATTGTCGAACGACAAGTATTTATAATGAATATTTGTCATGTATTGATACAATTCGTCATTATGTTGCATTAAGATACGAATCTAAAATTAATTTAGAGACTATTAAATTTGATCTATTAATGAAATGTAAAACAGTTAATCAATCTTTACCATATTACAATCATTCATATTTCTTTTCACCTTTCATAAATGCATATATAACTAGTAGACACATAATGGAATCTATTCGATTAGTTAGCTATTCATTTACAATTGTTCCTGATCTATTTTGTCTTGGAAATCAAACGAATCAATGTGTAACAGCACAGAAACTTTTTAAATATCAGTCAATACCGTTTGATAATTTATTTAAAATCAAATTAAACAACAATCCATGTCAAGAATATCCAAATGATTTTTATCAATGTCCAAATTCAATTGAATGTATTTCAAAATATCGATTGTTAGATGGTTATGCAGATTGTCTGGATAGATCCGATGAAAATATTCAAATGATTAATCAATCTATTGATGAAATATTTCTACAAGATCGATATCAATGTAAAACTGTTCCAGAAAAGATCATGCTTCATCTACTTGGTGAGTATTATTATGAACGAGTTTGATTTTCAATGCACATTATGTCTGTAAATGTAGGTAATGGACGAGCAGAATGTTCCGATGGTTCGGATGAAAATTATGAACAGATCCGTTGGGAATTGGTCGAATGTAACTCGATAAATAATATTGACTGTCAATTACTTCGACAAGCAAATGATTTAACTTTTGTTAATAAAGAATTCGGAATACAATTTGATGATATTTGTAATTCAGCATGGGAAACACAATATGGCATTGATGAAATGAATTGTTCAATATCAGGTTGGAAATGTCCATTAAATTGGTCTCAATATGATCGAAAAGATACATTATTATGGGATGGAAATTGTGTTCCATCACGTAGTAATTGTGACGATGTATGGGATTATGTGGATGGACGTGATGAAATCAATTTGTCTTAATAGTCAAGTTTTTCAATGGCCATGTCAAAATTTAACAACATGGAAATTAATTGATCTTAAATTAACACCACATTTAATTGGAGATGGACATATTGATTGTTTAGGAGGTCAAGACGAACGAAATTCTTTAACATGTGAGGATGGATATCAAATTGGTGAACGATTTCGTTGTTTAAATGGTTCTTGTATAAAGCAACACTTGCTTTGTAAGTGTGTTATTGAATTTCAAATCATTCTACTTTCATATTTATAGGTGATGGAATTCAACAATGCTCAAATGGTGAAGATGAATCAAATTATTATTGTCGTCATCAAGATAATTTGTTGATTCCACGAATTTGTGAACCAGGAACATTTGATTGTTCGGTATATCGAAAACCAAATGGAAACCATGTTGGATTTTCACTATGTTTGAACAGTAGTGTTCGATGTAATCATCGAAAAGAATGTTCTCGATATGGTGGTTCTGATGAAGAGAAAATGCCATTCGGGAGTCGATCTTGGATTTCGATATTCAAGATGCTTTCATAATGAAAATTCAATTCCTCCTCCACCTCTACATAAAGAAGACCGTTATGTTTCTTCAGCTGAAAATCTTGTGTGGTTTTGTAATCGCGGAGTAGTGATTCAAAGTTATTTTCCTCAAACACCATCACGATATGCTTGTCTTTGTCCATCAAGTTCTTATGGTGATCGATATCAATATCAATCTCATCGTGTTACTGTTATCTACACATTAGAAATGACACTTGAGCCATTAAAAAATAATTTTACTAATATAAGGATCATCACATTTCTTCAATATCAATATAAAACAATTGATCACATGAAATTATCATTTAAATGGACAGAATTACGATTAAAAAGAAAACAAAGATTTTATCTTCAATATCCATGGTCATTACTTGAAACAATTCATCAAGCATCATCTAATGATTATACAATTATGTTTCATATTTATACAATTCGTCCAAATCTAGTCAAACTATTTAGTGTTCATCGTTATCCAATTAAATATCCATATTTACCAGCATATCGTCTTACTGTTATTCTCAATCCAAAAGGTTCAAAATCAAGTTCAAATTCGATGATAAATTCGTGTGGAATTCATAGTCAAAATTGCCATTTGATTAGTAGTACAACATTTTATTGTGAATGTCAATCAGGTTGGTATGGATTACAATGTACAGAACAATTTCAAAATGTGTCTTGTGCTGCAAATAGTTATTTCTTACCGACATTTTATAATGGTATTGAAAAATATGAAGATTTTCTATGTATTTGTCCAATTGATCGATTTGGTCGTACATGTCATATTATCGATGAAGGAATTCGAATTGGAACATTGTGCAAATAATGGAACTTTATATCTTACAGTAGCAGATAGTTATTACGATGAAAAAGCACAGGGATCTTGTTTGTGTGCAAACAATTTTTACGACGATCGGTAAGTTGAGAATAACATTTAATGAAATAATTCTTTTTTCATTGTCTTCTTATTATAGATGTGAATATAAAACGACCCCAATCCAAATCTTATCACCTTCTTCATCAACAAAATCATTCCCAATGATTTTACAAATGAATTCTCCGTTTATTTATCCAAATTATTTAACTATTTTTCGTCAACATATGATCACAATGTTTAATACAACAATGACTTCAACATATTTTTATTCTCATCGGCAATATCATGTAGGTTTATTAAAAGTTTATACATCATATTTGGATTATAATTTTTATCTCTTATGGTCAAAGATGGATACGACCTATTCAACAGAAATTGTTATATTAAATGAAACAAATCGATGTCGCCATGCACGAGAATTTGAAAATTTAGTTCCTGTAAATAAAAATGATTATAAATCAGATCGAAATTTAATTCCATTTCTGAAGCGATATCATCAACCATGTCAAAATTCGAATGTTTTATGTTTTTATGATGAACGAACATACATGTGTTTATGTGATTTAAGACGACATTCAGCTTTATGTTATCGATATGATTTTCAATCTGATCAATGTCAATTTTGTAAGGAATTTTTTGGATAGAAATTGTTATTTCTAATTGTTTATAATTTTAAGGCTTGAACGATGGTATATGTGTTTATCGAAATAAACATGAAAATCGCTTTGATTTTCAATGTCGTTGTCAGCAATGCTATTATGGATCTGTGTGTCAATATAGAATGGCACAATTTGGTTATTCACTTGAAAGTTTATTAGTTACAAATGATCAGATTGATGACTTTCGAATTTTACAAAATATTTCATCGGTATCAAAAATAATTTATTTAACTTTATCAATTTTCATGTGTTCTATTGGATTTTTAAGTAATTTATGTTCAATCTTAACTCTTCTACATTCAACAATAATTCGAACATCTATTGTTTATCTTCTTATTCTAACGTGTATTTCAAATCAAATTACACTTTTTAGTCTTATGACACAAATTATTTATATACTTATGAATGATTTGTCTAAGATAAAGAATATTTCTTTCAATTATATTCTATGCAAATCAATATCTTATACAATTAATCTATTTACATTTATTAGTAAATGGGCAATTGCATTTATTAATATAAATCGTCTTCAACAATCAACACAGATACGAACGAAAATCGATCAATTGATTCAAATAAAACGAAATGTAATGAAATTTTGTTTTCATTTTCAAATATTTTTCTTTTTTGAATAGATGCTTTTGTATTTGATATTTATGATCGCTGTATCGATAAGTATAATAACAGAAATGTTCTTTCACCGTTTATTAATTCTAAATAAAAATGACGATGAAAAATCTTTTCAATGTATTAATGAACCTTATGGAATATGGAAAACATTTGCGACAGTATTTACTTTTATTCATCATTTAATTCCATTCTGTTTTAATAGTTATTCAATTCTAAAATTAATTTATTTAGCATCAAAAAGTAAATCAAAAGTTGGAAAAGAAAATCTATTTATTTCAATGTTTAAACAATTAAATAAATTTCAGCAGCAATGTTTTTGTTCATTATTAATGATTATTTCGTCATTACCGCAACTTATTATTGAATTTGATGTTAATTGTGATCAATGGAGCCAAATTTGGCTTCGATATATAATTATTATTAGTTATTTATTCTCATATATTCCGCATGTGACTTTTTTCCCTTTTTTTATATATTCATCATCAATATATAAACAAGTATTTCACAACTTATCTCTCGTTAAATGGATTCGTAAACATCTGTCTCCGTCTCAATGAAGAACTGGCCGATTCAGAATCTATTGTATTACGTTCACAAATTCATTACCGTTTTCTATCGATCGGTACGAAAATATTGTGGCATTTTTGTGTTAAAGATATTTTTAGAACTAACAGCTTCTTTAAATATCAATAAAGGCAGTCGTTGTTGTCAAATAAAACACGTTAAAGTGAGACTTGTTAATTTTTCAAAAGAGAAGTTGACGTAAATGTCTGAGTAAGAATATTTTAATGAACGAAACTAAATCAGTTATCGAAATTTCCATTCAATGTAAAAACACTTTTGGCACGTTGCGCAAAATATCATAAATTAGTTGATTTTTATGTGGAAAATCAACGTCCGTTCCGTTTTCAAAGCGAATGCACTATTAGCTGTGAGCTTTTGTATTGTTGGCAATCATGATTATTTTTGTGAGACTAAATAATACGAGGCAATGTACGTGATTAAGCTTACGAGGGAGGTACCCGAAGTGTCTACTCGCTTTACGGCGCATATTGTGACCACAGGTAGACCTCAATGGGACTACTAGGAAGCCAAAAGGATGTGTGCCCATGGTTTCGTAGTCAGAAGTTACGACCACCTCATCGTTGATACGAAATATGTGATCAAGAGCCTGAAAAGTTTTTCCGGACATCTTTTGATTTGAATAGTAACTTTTCCCAACAATAGCACCGTGTCTGTGACAACTATGTTGGCTGATCGAGTTGCGAAAAAAGATTCGTATTATCCTTTGGGTAACATTCATGAGCAGAAGCTCATCGATCAGTTATATCAGGTACTTGAAGACGTTGCAATAAGTTCATCATACCAAGTAGAAGACGAGTGTACACTCGACTACGACAACTCTTTCGAGGAAGAAAACGATCCTACTTTTGATGGAAGTGAGAACGAGGAAGATCGTGAAGGCGACGCGTTACTGACAACGTTCTCTCTGGAATAAATGAAAAACGCTATGAACTTCTATGAAGCAATCGACGAAATGACCGGAAAACGAAAGCATACATAGAAAAGTGTCCATCATCGATTTAGACGAATCGGCCACAAACGATACCTTGGCTGCTTTCGCAAACATTTGGAAGATCATGGCACAAAAAAAGCAAAAAATAGATAACACCGATCAAGTTGGACTGGAAAAGGAACTGCATTCCACTCGGACATTGAGTTATCAAGGTGAAAAACTGATAGCGGCCGGTGAAGTAGTAAGACCCATCTGCCTATGTCTCAAGGAACCCGGCCGACGGATAAGCGAGAGTGAGTTTGCAAATATGTTTTTCCGTCTTCAGTTTAAACTTCTCCAGACGTTCGCGCAAAAATATTTCAGCCAAGAAATGTCGTCATCACATGTAGTAAATCTGGCAAACTGATCAAGTCGCTCGTTCATTACTGGTCTGATGTGGTTCTGGCTCCGAATACACCCAAGAAGTGTATTCTTCTCTCGGACGCCTGGCCTACACAGAGTGACGTCGAAATATACAAGAAAGTGCCAGGTTGAAAACATCTCGGCATCCGACAGAAGACCACCCATCGATTGCAGCCGCTCGATGTGTTCTACAACTTCTACAACTAGCAGATGAAATCAATAATACGTTGCGCTTGTGATCGTGTGATTCACGACCGATTGCCCATTACTATGAGCACGCGGAACAATATCATTCGCCTAGTTTCTCTCACGAACTGTGACCAATTCCCTTCTTATTCGTTGCAGCTGGTGCGACAAGAGCTTATGCTTCAGCCATTTTTTTGTAGAAAATCATTTTCATCAGTGACATTTCATTTAATATCAATCGTTGTATATGACTAGTTAGAACATTCGAGATGGAGTATATTAGAAAGTTTTCAGAAATCGAGACTTGGAATTCATTAAAAAAAACTAAGGAGCACCGTGCTCGCTGGTGATAGTATGATANTAAATCGTCTTCAACAATTAACACAAATACGAACGAAAATCAATCAATTGATTAAAATAAAACGAAATGTAATGGAATTTTGTTTTCATTTTCAAAATATTTTTCTTCTTTTTGAATAGATAATTTTGTATTTGATATTTATGATTGCCGTATCGATCAGTATAATAACAGAAATATTCTTTCATCGTTTATTAATTCTAAATAAAAATGATGATGAAAAATCTTTTCAATGTATTAATGAACCTTATGGAATATGGAAAACATTTGCGACAGTATTTACTTTTATTCATCATTTAATTCCATTCTGTTTTAATAGCTATTCAATTCTAAAATTAATTTACTTAGCATCAAAAAGTAAATCAAAAGTTGGAAAAGAAAATCTATTGATTTCAATGGTTAAACAGTTAAATAAATTTCAGCAGCAATGTTTTTGTTCATTATTAATGATTATTTCGTCATTACCACAACTTATTATTGAATTTGTTGTTAATTGTGATCAATGGAGCCAAATTTGGCTTCGACATATAATTATTATTAGTTATTTATTCTCATATATTCCACATGTGACTTTTTTTCCTTTTTTCATATATTCATCATCAATATATAAACAAGTATTTCACAACTTATCTCTTATTAAATGGATTCGTAAACATCTGTCTCCGTCTCACTGAAGAACTGATCGATTTAGAATATATTGTTGCATTTTTGTGTTAAAGATATTTTTAGCACTAACAGCTTCTTTAAATATCAATAAAGGAAATTGTTGTTGTCAAATAACACACGTTAAAGTGAGATTTATTAGTTTTTCAAAAGAGAAGTTGACGTAGATGTCTGAGTAAGAATATTTTAATGAACGAAATTAAATCAGTTAGCGAAATTTCCATTCGATTTAAAAACACTTTTGGCATGTTGAGCAAAATATCATGAATTAGTTGATTTTTATGTGAAAAATCAACGTTAATTCCGTTTTTAAAGCGAATGCACTACCAGCTGTGAGCTTTTGTTATTTGGCAATCATGATTATTTTTATGAGATTAAATAATATGAGACAATATACGTGATTAAGCTTACGAGGGAAGTATCCGAAGTGTCTACTCGCTTTACGGCTCATATTGTGACCACAGGTAGACCTCAATGGGACTACTAGGAAGCCAAAAGGATTTGTGCCCGTGATTTTGTAGTTAAAAGTTATGACTGCCTCATCGTTAATACGAAATATGCGATCAAGAGCCTGAAAATTTTTTCTGAAGTAACTGTTGTAGCCTATTATGATCACCAAACACCGTGCTCCTAAGTTTTTTTTATGAATGCTAAGCCTCGATTTCTGAAAACTTTCTAATATACTCCATCTCGAATGTTCTAACTAGTCATATACAACGATTGATATTAAATGAAATATCACTGATGAAAATGATATTCTACAAAAAGATGGTTGAAGCATAGACTCTTCTCACACCAGCTACAATGAATAGAAGGAGATTGGTCACAGTTCGTGACTTGGCAAGTGGTCGTGAATCACACGATCACAAGCGCGACGTATTATTGATTTCATCTGCTGGTTGTAGAACACATCGAGCGGTTGCAATCGATAGGTGGTCTTCTGTCGGATGCCGAGATGTTTTCAACCTGGCACTTTCTTGTATATTTCGACGTCACTCTGTGTAAGTCAGGCGTCCGAGAGAAGAATACACTTCTCGGGTGCATTCGGAGCCAGAACCACGTCAGATCAGTAATGAACGAGCGACTTGGTCAGTTTGCCAGATTTGCTACATGTGATGACGACATTTCTTCGCTGAAATATTTTTGCGCGAACGTCTAGAAAAGTTTAAACTGAAGACGGAAAAACATATTTGCAAACTCACTCTCGCTTATCCGTCGGCCGCGTTCCTTGAGACATAGGCAAATGGGTCTTACTACTTCACCGGCCGCTATCAATTTTTCACCTTGATAACTCAATGTCCGAGTGGAATGCAGTTCCTTTTCCAGTCCAGCTTGATCAGTGTTATCTATTTTTTTTTCTTTTTTGTGCCCTGATCTTCCAAATATTTGCGAAAGCGACGAAGGTATCGTTTTTGGCCGATCCGTCTAAATCGATGATGAACACTTTTTCATGTATGCTCTCGTTTTCCGGTCGATTGCGTCATAGAAGTTCACAACGTTTTCGATATATTCCAGAGAGAACGTTGTCAGTAACGCGTCGTCTTCACGATCTTCCTCGTTCCCACTTCCATCAAAAGTAGGATCGTTTTCTTCATCGACTTCGATATCATTGAACGAGTTGTCGTAGTCGAGTGTACGCTCGTCTTCTACTTAGTATGATGAACTTATTGCAACGTCTTCAAGTACCTGATATAACTGATCGACGAGCTTCTGCTCATGAATGTTACCCAAAGGACAATGCGAATCTTTTTTCGTAATTCGATCAGCCAACATAGTTGTCACAGACACGGTGCTATCGTTGAAAAAAGTTACTATTCAAATCAAAACATTTCCAGAAAAAATTTTCAGATCCTTGATCACATATTTCGTATCAACGATGAGGTGATCATAACTTTTGACTACGAAACTATGGGCACAAATCCTTTTGGCTTCCTAGTAGTCCCATTGAGATCTACCTGTGGTCACAATATGTGCCGTAAAGCGAGTAGACACTTCGGGTACTTTCCTCGTCAGTATCTAGTTTCTGGACATCATCCTTCTCCCAATCGAGAGGAAAAATTCTATTCGAACAAGTATCTTAGCATATTAACCAACTGTATGCAATAGTAAAATTAGAACTCATAAAAAATATCAACAAATTTCGTTTATTTTTTGAGTTTATTTTGGAAAAATCGAATAACTAACGAATACTATTATTGTTTCTTTGGGGATCAGTGCCATCTATACTAAAAATTAAGGGAACTATTACATTTGATTTAAAAGTTTTCCAAATAATGTTTTTTAATTGTACAACGGAAAATACAATTGCTACATTTAATACTAACACTGATAATCCGACCGAAAATAGCAGAAATCGAGGAGTTAACGGATGTTCTTTACCTGTAATAAACATCATGATCAGAAAAATCGCTGCTGGCATGCCGAGTAAAAGTAAAATGCCAACAATGATTAAAATACGTTGAATAGCAACAAAATCTCGATTTTGTTGGCGTCTAACTACGAATGTCTGATTTTTTGTTTGTTTTCGAAGAAATAAAATAATACGAAAATATAGAAATGATAGTAACAGAACAGGTATACCATAGGCAACGAAAAAGAGCCAAAGAAAACTTCGAATTCTAGACAACGGTATAAAACAAAAATGATCTTCCGGCAAGTAAATAATATCCTGCCAAATGTAAGTAGGACATAAGAGAACAAATGCCAGAATTAACTGAATAGGAGGTAAAATCACATAAAATGATGGAGATTGTAACCATCGATATTGTGGATAAACAATACGACAAAGACGATAGAACGCCTATAAAAAAACATAAGATATAAAAACATAAGATAATTTTTAAGAAATGAAAACTACCTGGTTAACTAAAGATATTAATAAATTAAAGATAAAACCACAATATGCATATGCCGTTAGAACGCAACGCAATGAATTAAAATTTATTTGATAAATGTCACCTAATATCGATTGTGCATCATATGAACAAAATATTAATTCGCAAACAAATGCACATAGATACACATTTACGCAAAGAACGAGTATAGATTTGTCTTCATATTTAACTTGTTTATAAAAAAATTTAGAAACAATAATAGTCAAGATTATTAAAGATATTAAACATGCAAATATATTTTCAATAGTTGATATTATACTAAATACAAATGCAACTTGCTGATTTTGGGTAAGAAACAACATTGACCTCTGTGTTAATTTTGCGTTCAAAAAACTTTATGTAAGTACATGCAAAGAAGTTTTTCATAAAAATGAAACCTGTGACAATAATTCTTTTAAGCTCATAAAATAGACTAAAAAAGTTAAGCCAGAAAGAAGATTATGGCATTCAAATTTTTGCTCATCAGGGACTGTGAGAAAAAATCGCATAGAGTACTTCATTTCTTAAAAATTTATATATAAAACTTAATTCAATGAATATTTAGAGCAATTAAAATGTTGTATCATCTGCTTTTTTGAAGAGAGTGCACCAGTTTGATCTTAATTATAAATTTTTCTCGTGATATGGATATTTTTATATTGATTAAATGAATGTTTTTGGGTTGCTGTAAGTGAAAGAAGGATATTAACTTTTACACTGATAAAATTTTATTAGAGGGTAAAACAAAATTACGCAGATGTGAAAATCATAAAAAGTCTTATGGTACAGTAAATTCAAACTAATAAGAACTTTTCACATAGGAAACCTCATGGTAATCAAAGTATAAAATAGTAGATGAACTAGGTGATATTTATCATTTTTTACTATGCCGGTTGAATTAGTCGTGCTGATGCTCTGTAATGACGAATTATGCATCATTTAGAAATTTAGTAGTTTTCAGAAAATGAACATAAAATATCGATATCAGTTTCGAACTGTAACATAATCTGTACAATTGGGAAAGAATTAATATAGTAATAAGTAAAAATGTAGAGTGCACGAGGTCAAAATACCTTGTCTTCGGTATAATACAGACAAACACATAGTATCGATATTATTAAATAAGTCGGATCTAATAATTATAGTACCGATGCGTCATGTTAATGCACTGCCTTCAATGAAATGTTAGAATATCCTTACCTACATCGCCGATTTTTTTTCAAAACTGTCAGTTAAGGTCGGCTTTTCGTTCCAAGACTATTTCTTGTTGACTTTCTACTCTATTATCGCTATTCTTCGTGACGACGTTGACGTTCATCAGAGAAATCGAATTATAAAAGTTTTGATAAATCTCTATGATTAGTTATTACAGCGCCATCATTAATTACGCTCAAACTCAAAGATTCTAACAGAAGTACATGATGTAGCTGGTCCCAGTAACTTTATCACACTTAAAAATAGATGGAGGCCTGATTATGACACTGATCTGACAGTTTTGAAGATTTAAACAACAATCGCTGTAGAGGTGTAGTTTCAACGACATGGAAATACATTCTTGTGCATTCTTTTCTATTAGAAGCAGATTAGAATGAATAATGTCATCACTGACCATGGTTTATGTAAACATTTTCATACCTATGTGGCATCATATTCACTTAGTGTTATGAATCATTATCGACTATACTCAAATGAAATACGTAATTACATAAAAACAAGCCTGCTACGGTAAGGGTGCGAGTTATTGTATCATTCAAAAAATAGATGATCAGTTTTATCGACGAAGAAGCTACCGCTGTTTGTTGATACTTGTTGTAAATATGCCACTGTACTAAATAATTCAATCAAAAGTTTATGAAAAATATTTTTTTCACTCGTCAACAACTGCCGGGATAATAAAAATAACGAAAATATTATAATCTTATCTTATTATTATCATCTATTAAACATGACGCGTTGCCAATATTGTAGCCGAAAGGGACATAATGAAATCATATTTTATTTTATTTCATAACTTAATTGGGATCACAATGACCAACTGGAAGAATACCGTTGTCATTATTCGGATGTAGCTAAAACTATGCCCTACATTACTTCATATTCCAGTTGTGTCTGTTGGCACAACAGAGCTATAAGTTTTCGGGTCTTTGAACGAATCTCTGTATCATCACGATAAGCATTCGAAAAGTCGAGGGTCTGAGTTTGTCGGTGAATTGATTGGACAAAGTATCAGCAGTAGCTAATACGACGTACGTTGGAGAGCTAAAGAATAGAAAAATTATCAATTGTAGGGAAAACATATACGAGCTCAGTTCATCAGCCATAGCATTGATCATTGTTGGTTAAAAATCCGTAGCGATTTTCGATGAAGAAAATACAATCCAAGTTGGTTAACATGTTGAGTGAGGATCTTGAATAGATCTTTGTAGATTGCTGCGACTCCGGCAGTTAGGAGTATCAGGACACAGAGAAAGTCTACCGAATATTTGACATGCAGAATTCAATGGGCAAGTAGAAACCTTTTACCATTAGATGTTTCTCTGTAAATCGCCGGAGTATCAAAGCTCATCGATAATGGAAGAGTTGGCGTCATTTCTCGTCGAGTACGGTTTAGACCAGAGTCTGAAAGAAGATTCTCTAGCTTGCAACATTCAGAAAAATGGCTCATGTTTACAGGCTATTCTCGCTGTGTGAGCACTCGCGAGAGCAACTCACGATAAATTTGGTCGACAGATGTTGTTTCTTTTGTCATACTTTGACGAATTTTGTGTCGTTCGGGAAGGTGCTAATGGTTACGACTACTTGTCGTGTGCTTGGGAAATTGATCGTTCGAACCAAGATGCATACCAACCCAAAACATATTCTCTTCGCAAACATAACAATTCACTTTTCTCATTGATTTGTTGATCTAATAAACATAATCATTGGCAAGGAGTAAAATTTTTTTTCTGGTTGTTGATAATAAATGAAATTATTGGAATATTTCAACCACATTGCACCATTTGTACAGACGACTAGAACCGAAGAAATGAAAAAAAACGAAGTTCTTGCCGCCAAAGGAGGAAGATTACAGATGACTAACGAAAAAATATTGCATAGTGAACTGAAATACATTTTGAGCACATCTTGATATGAATCGTTACGTTCTTACGGCACTCGAGTACGGTAAAATCTTCTAATTAGTTTCACAGAAACATTATTCTCAAGGAAATTTGTTCTGGACTTCGTAATCAATTTGAGCATGTTAGGAAACGTTTGGTCTCTTCGGCGTCGAACATATTGTTTCTGATGAGCTCATAGTAGAATTTCGGTGAGAAACTACTGCTACACCATAACGACTTGCAACCATTTGCAACTTTGAAATCTATAAACAAGCGAGATAAGTTTCTTTTTCAATAGTTTCTTGGTGAGCTCACGTTCTCGAATGCACCGTGTAAACTTAAGAATAGTTTTAATTCTTGTAATCCTACATTCGGTAGAACGTTAACACTCAGTTCTTTTGCCAAGATTAGTAATTCTTTCGATTCTCCTTAGTTCTTGCCAGTTATAAAAAAAATGATCGACAGTCTGCGCTACCATTCTTGTCCCTGTAGAGTATTCTATCAAATCAACAGTGAGCTAGCGAAAAAATTGACTGATGGCAGCGTTATTATCAGAATATCCATCTAAACCTTCTTGAATTGATCCAGACGCTGATCGTTCGAAATATTGAATTCGAGCCTTTCTCAACAATTAAGGATACTGACTTCTTCGCCACTGACGTCCATCTATTTTCGAAAAGTTGGAAGAAAGGATTTTCTGGATGAGCAATAAAAGAATCCGATGTCATCAGTGATCTTCCTCAGCCGTCATTGAAAAATGAAGTGGTGTGATTCGAATAGAACCATCGTTTCGCAGCGGTTTGATCACTTCTATAGATGATGGCTGTGTGCATCTATGGATATTATATCAACGAATATAGAAACTAAAACGTCTTCGACAGCTCATGCGAAAAAATAAAATAGTTGAAAAATGCTGTTAAAACTATCAGTGTGAAGCTAGCACGAAGGAGCTAGCACGAAGAAACTGTGTGTAAGCTAAAAACTTTTTTCCAAAGTTTGTCCGGCGAATAAAACCTAGTCCATTCGATTCAGAATTTAATTCTGCNAAACTTTTTTCCAAAGGTTTTCCCGGGAATAAAAAATACTTCCATTCGATGCAGAATTAAATTCTGAATCGAATGGACTAGGTTTTATTCGCCGGACAAACTTTGGAAAAAAGTTTTTAGCTTACACACAGTTTCTTCGTGCTAGCTCCTTCGTGCTAGCTTCACACTGATGTTAAAACTCGTAAAACGCATGTACGATAAAAAGGATTCCAGGAAAATGAGGAAATTTTGAAAAGGAAAATGGACTGAAGAAAGAAAAAATGTATACCTTCAACAGAAAACGAGTTGACGCATTTTTAACAAGGACTCGATTACTCAGCACATTGGCGGAAACGAGTTTTATCAATGATAAAGAACTGCGTCGGACGTTCAAAAACTAGCGTTCCAGTATCAGTTTTTGATGCTGAATCTGTTGAAACAGCTTTCAAAGCTTAATTACATTTTTTTAAAATCATTGGTTTTTCAAGCGTTTTTCGATTTTCACTGCGAAAACATTTTTTATTCCAATAAACTTTACATATTCGCATTCAGCGCATCAAACTGCATCGGCTTGCGTAGAAAAAAAACAAGTAAAAAATGTTTGCTCGAATTTTGCGTTGTGCCCAATGTTATCTTATTGTTCTTGTTCTTATCGTATTTTATAACTTTGACATTTGTCGAAAGTTGAGTGCACACCTGAGTACAGTAAAATAGGCGTGTTCCATTTGTTGGGCGTCAATATCAAACGTAATGATCATCTCACGGCTATATATTTTAGTAAACATTAGGCGTCCTGCACTGTTCTAATGTCTTAATACAAAAGCATGCGTTATATTTTGTAGCGAGTGAAACAAAAATACATAGCTACCTTTACGAACGGCAGAAAAGTACGGCTCACTAATTGCCGTCGACGGAATACATGCGAGAAACTTTGAGTATTTTGCGCTCAGTAATTAACGAGACGCACACATGTATTATTGCATTTTATAGTGACAAATATGTTCTGCTAATTAATTATATGTTGATTTTGACATGAGCGACACGTATTTACTAAATAGGACAGAGAAAATTAACCGTTATAAATGATCATTTATAAATACAACTAGTTTCTGTCATATTTATTAATGAAATATTTTGATTCTGTTCGGTTCTAGATTTTGGTGTTATTTGTGACTTTACTTCAAAACTATGTTAAATCAAGACGTGGAAAGCAATGCTTCTTCCGCCAAAAACAATTTCTCTCATTTTACTTTACGCCGAACTCCTTATCGTGTCTATGTGACTTCTTTTGAACAAGTGTGTCGTCAACAATATCGAGGAGAAGGTACTCCAGAAAAACCTTATATTATTGATTGGTTGCCGGATGATCTCGAGAATCCTCAAAATTGGCGTAGTTCGTATAAATGTTTGTTGACAGCGTTCGTGGCTATCGCTACGTTAGCTGTTACTTTCTGCTCTTCTGCATATGTTGGCAATGTTCGAGGTCTTCTCGAAGACTATCATTCATCTGCTGAAGTCATTACTCTAGGTATTTCTTTTTCTGTCCTTGGTTTCGCTATTGGTAAGTGGATCTTTTTGTTGTTGATTGGAAGTCTTTCACTTTGTCTTACAGGTCCTCTTCTTTGGGCTCCTTTCTCTGAAATACTTGGCAGGCGCATACTTTTCATTGGTACTTATGCAGCCCTTACTGCTTTTAATACTGGAACTGCAGCATCTCAAAACATGGCGACCGTTATTATTCTTCGTTTTTTTTCTGGTGCATCTGGCTCTTCACCTCTAACTAACGTAAGTCATTATCACTTGATTTATTTTTTGTTATATTTTCTGTAAATAGGCTGGAGGTACAATAGCAGATATCTTTTCAGCAAAACAACGTGGACTTGCCATGACTATATTTGCTGCTGCTCCTTTCATGGGTCCTGCACTCGGACCTATTGTTGGCAAGTACTGGTGACAATACTTAACTATCAATTAAATAATTATTTCAGGAGGTTTCACTGGTGACGGAGCTGGTTGGAGATGGGTTGAAGGAGTTATGGCCATCTTTACTGGTTTTATTTTTATAACTGGAACTATCTCTTATCCAGAAACCTATGCTCCAGTTCTTCTACGAAAGCGAGCAGAGAGACTGTCCAAAGCTACTGGATTAGTTTATCGTTCAAAATTTGAAGAGAAACGTCAAGTCAATATAATACGGCTGTTGAAAACTTGTCTTTCGAGACCTTGGTTGTTTCTCATTCGAGAACCAATTGTTTTCTTACTCTCACTATATATGGCTATCATTTACGGCGTCCTCTATATGTTGTTTGGTGCTTTTCCCATAGTTTATGAAGAAGGTAGAGGATGGTCAACTGGTATTGGCGGGCTTGCTTTTCTTGGGATAGCTGTGGGCTTTGTGATTGC